CCCCACTAGAGGGTCCGTTGCCCGGGTTGGACCACGTGGAGGTGGGGGTAGGCCGTCTTCTTCCTTCCGGTTTCTGGTCGGAGCCCGACCTTCTTCCTTTTTTCTGCTTCCGGGGCAGTCCTTAGAAAGGTGCCCCTCCTTCTTGCACCTGAAGCAGGCTTTTGACCTGTCCGGGCCTTTGCACGCGTGGGCAATGTGTCCGCGTTCTAGACACCTGTAGCACTGAAGTCCCTTGTCGAGAATCCTCAGCCTACAGGACGTCCACCCGACCCGGACTCGGCCTAGGCCTGCCAGGCGATGAGCCGTTTTGAGGGGCATTTCGCACCTCGCATACCGCCCCTTACCGCCGACGTTCGTGAGGACCGTAACAGGTCCCACTTGCGGCGGCAGTTCTCCATTCGGATGCTTCAAGGCGGCGCTCAGTACTCGCTGGACATCGTGTTCCTCCTGCCACTCCTCCACGTTCAGGAGGAGGACGGCGCAGGACATCGAAGGCCGGTGTACCCGCACGTCCATTTCCTTTAGGGCCGCCCTCAGACTGGAAGCCAGAAGGTCAGCTTGTTCAGGAGGACGGCACCCGTCTGCGTTCTCCGGGTCCCGGACACTTGAATGCCCAGGGCCTGGAGGTCAACTGTAGCCATAGCTATGCCTGTGGCGGTCGAATGTTCTAGAATGTTCGGCCGCCGCCGCCTCTAGAAGATTCGTCGCTCTACATAAGCGTGTGGCGGTCGAATGTTCTAGAGAGTTCCGCCGCCGCCTCTAGAAGATTCCTCTGACTATTTAAGGGCAAGATCGTCGCTCCAGTCAGTCAGTCGATCAGTCAATCACTTACGCATTCTGTCTTACACGCGCTTCGTCTCTCGCTGTTATTTATTAGTTCGTTGTAATACAGTTCGTCTCTCGCTGTTATTTGTTAGTTCGTTGTAATATAGTATAGTTGTTATTAAATCTTAAAAGTGTTTATTACTTCTATATATTACACCTCGCTACATGCCCATTACCGTGGCATACTTCTGCCCCTCTTTTAGTGGGCCTATCACCACGGCTTCCGTGCGTGGCACTTTTCCTCGCAGTTTCGCCGCTTTCTGGATTCTCGACCTCGTCTGCTGAGGTTTGGACTCAACCGTAGCATCCTGCTCCTTCCTCCTGGTACCCGCCTTGCGTCCTACGACTTGGGTCCACAGTGGTGGTTTAGCGGGAGCAGCTCCCACATCCCCCTCCGCAGACTCCACGTCGTTTTCCCGGTTCACCGCCAGCCGGTCGGTTAGCGTCTCGTTGTGCGCAACAACCGAATTGGCGGCAGTACTCACGGCAGCGGGCCGTTTCTTCTTCCTTTTCCTCTTCTTCTCAGACACCTCGGGTCCTTTTGGTATAAAGCCCGGTGGATCCTCGACGGCCGTTTGCGTCCCGACTTCCTTGGCCGTTTTCAGGAGCGCTACTTCCGGCGCTCGCGGCTCGGCTTTGGACACCGCTGAGGCTTCCTGGTGGATCCTGGACGGAGGAGACGCTCTTCTAGGTTTCTCCTCATCCAGGATCTCCTCCAGGTGCTTTGTCGCCATTTGCACCTCCTTGTGCACCCCCATACCCCGGCGTTTGTCTATAACCCCTCGAAGCACAGCCACTTGCGCGGCTATGCCTTCGAGCATAGACGACGTGGCAGACGCCACGTCCGCCGGGTCATGCCACCTCTTGCGGCACGGCCGCACAGCACTCCTCAGCTCGCTGAGGGCCTGACACGAGAGGGAGATCTGCTGAACGAGGTACTCCAGGTGTGTGCCCGGGACCTCGTTCATCAGACTCCCCTCGACCTCAGCGGTTCTGGCGAGAGCGACAACGTGGTTGAGGCCGACATCGAACGTGGCCTCGTCGTCGCTCTCCTCTTCTTCCCCCAGAGGCGCCCTCCTCTTGCCAGGATGGCGCAATGGGGGAGAACTTTCCGGTAGTGGACTCAGCGCTGGCGAGTCCGCTCGCTGGCGGGTCGATGAGCCTTCCCCAGGGGAGGGTTCAGCGTTTCCACCACGGTCGCCTGTCCGCATCATCTCGTCCTCTTCTGCCGATGCCGCAGCATCAGGAGATGACGAGACTTCCTGCTTCTCAGCGTACATCATGTACTCTGCGGCCTGTTGAAGGCCGCGACCCATGGTCCTCATTATCCCGCTATCGTTGTAGCGGGATAAGAGCTCAGAGGCGACCAGGCGGGCGACGCCAATAAGACGTTCCGCCGCAGCTTCCCCTCGACGACCAGCAATGCATCCATCGATGATCTCCGCCCTCTGCTCGATGTCTTCTACACCTTCTAACGGGTCGTATTCCTTGTCCCTTTCCGGGGCAAAGGAACGCCCGTCGTCCAGGTCCTTCTGCATAAGCTTCAGGATTGTGGACGCTGAACTACAGAACAATTCGGCCGTCCTGAATTGACCACAAGGAAACGGTTCCAGCGACACTTCTCCAGATTTCATGTAGAGCAGCAATCGGCTCCATCGAGTGAACTCCGAATGGGTCAGCGGCACGTCATCGCGGAAGCGATCGCGCACGCCTTCCCATTCGTCCACCATCTCCTTGACGGTAGCAAAGCCACCAGCAGTTACCTCAGTGACTCTAAGGTCACTGGAGGATGCCTGCTTGGCACATCCTCCGACAGTAGCTTGGGCGCGAACGCCCCCTGGACCCTGCCTCACCAGTCCCACGGTCTTGGTACAGTCGCTAGATAACGACTGGGTTAGGCCTGTAGCGACACCTTTCCCAGCCGGCCCTGGAGACTCCGATTCTCCTGGAACGGTAACCGTTATTTTTGAATGGTTTGCTTCCATGATTGGTTTTACAGGTGTCCTTCCCTGCGTTTTACCTGCCGCCAGGGGATTTGTTTTCGGTGTTACCTTCACCTAGGTGGTCGCCTTACCAGGCTATCGGGCCCACCCGCCCGTTATGAAATTACCCTCGATCGCTACCGCTTATTCGTCCACTTTGGGAGTGGCTTATGTCACGGCTACCCTACATATCTGCAGGGTTAACGAGCGAACGAGGGGCTCGCTGTCCGCGACCGCTTATTCGTCAGTCCAAATGAATGCACTGCTTATTTCGCGGCTAGCCTGCATATCTGCAGGCCGTTCCTCTATCCGCAACCTGAGGACGCGCCCGATTCCCCGAGCTAGGGAAACTGCGCTCGTGCCGACGTTTCGTAGCCCCGTGGAGCCCGATCACGCCGACACTGTAGCGCAGCGCAACGGGTATCGGACCCACCCGCCCGTTATGAAATTACCCTCGATCGCTACCGATTATTCGTCCACTCTAGGAGTGGCTTATATCACGGCTACCCTTACACTTGGCTTTTTGAGAAGAAATTGTAATGAATTCAATAATATTTTGTGTATCAAAACCTTGTACATTTCTTTTGTAAGATCAATTTTAGAATATGCATCTATTATTTGGTGTCCATATAAAATAGGTGAAATTAATAGAATACAATCTATACAAACACGTTTTTTACACTTCATTTCTTTTAAGTCTAGGGATTATAATGTGTCGATCGATGAAATACGAATCTCTCTTGGTTTAACTTCCCTTGCTTACAGGAGAAAATGCAATTATTTAATTATTTCGCGGCTAACCTGTATATCTGCAGGCCGTTTCTCTATCCGCAACCTGAGGACGTGACCGATTCCCCGAGCTAGGGAAACTGCGCTCGTGTCGACTTTTCGTAGCCCCGTAGAGCCCGATCCAACCGACACTGTAGCGCAGTGAAACGGCGGACGGGAATAAATCCAACGTAAACTAACCTAATATAATGGAAGAGGGAACGACAAAACCAAACGTGAACTATGGCAAGAGGGACTCTCTTCCTTCATTATGTCCTAAAGAGGGAGGGGTAATGAAAACTAAACATAAATTAACTTAATAGCTGGGTTGGGAATGAAAACCACGTAAACTAATACAACTTGTCGCACGCCTAGAGATTTTATATAATAAATCGTTTATTATGCGTATAGGGTACGAGTTAATCCTTGAACGTACTTTATTTTTTTTTTACACTATCTACAGATTTGAATCGAAATGTTTTTTATTAGTGATTTGAATCAATGTCAGATATTATCTATACTTGATCAAACTATGCCACGTCACAACTGTGCCACGAACCCCTGTGCTGGGTTTTTTTTAACAAATATTTTTAAATATATTTTTTGGTAAATTATTTTTTTAAATTAACAGAAATATTTATGTAAAATTATTGTTCTCGGTTCTATGGTGGCTATTTGTATTAAAATTAAACAATTTTTTATTTCTTTTTGTCTGATTAATTATTTTAATTCATAATAGAAATATTATATTTCTCATGTATTCAACTGTGCAGCAACCCCACTGTGCTGAGTTTTTTATATTTAATGGACTATTAAATTCAGGAATGGAAAACGGCATCCATAATTTTATAATTATAATGTTTCAAACAAACTTTTAGTCAAATAAATGCCAAAAAAGAAAAAATCAAGTATAGTAGAGACGCATTACAGTTGTGACAAGTATAGAAGATATCAGACTGTGAACAATATCACTATCATAAAAAACCCTTCCTTGCGAAAATGTTAAATTTCACATTAATTTGTATATTAGTAATTTTACAATTACTAAATTAAAATTTTTTACAACTAATTGCTTATAGAGAAACAATATTTTTTCATTGGATTTTCAATACTTATAATACCAAAGGAAATTTTATTGCCTTTAGTTTACTATCAAAATTAATCTACAACTTACGTAAAGTTTTAAAAAATAATAACATGATTGTAAAACCAGTTCCTTCTAACATTTCATTTGTCTACAATAATACTACTCATTTTGGTAAGTTTAGCTATACATAAAAATGTATAATTTCCAAAAATATTTCAAAATCTAAGAATGAAAAATCATTATTAATATGCTAAAATATAAAATTAACTGTATAATGTAATTTTAGCTTCGATGCGAAGCTGAGAAGGTATTAATTTTACTATGATGTGTTTTTTTAGTTAATATCTTTGCCGAAGCTTTGAGAAGTAAATAATAATTTGATTTATTACCACTGGATACTCCTAAAATTATATTATTTTAACTTATTTGTTATTTAGATATCAATACTAGTTCAGAAAATAGTGGTAAGAGTGAAAAATGGAATTAACATACATAGAAATTGTTACTTAGATCTTAATATAACTACTTATTAAAGGCTAATTTTTCATACTTAAAATCGAAAAATAACATATTTATGTATTGATAATTATTGATTTAGGTTATTAATTAATATAGCATTTCATATTAATCTATTATGTATAAACAGTATAGGTTTAAAAAAAGATTATTCAGCGTTTATTTTCGTTTAGATGACAATTCTCGAGTTACGAGTAGGTATTTAAATAAAGAACTTTAAGTTGTATATATTAGTTTTTTTCAATTTCTATGGAAAAAGTGAGAATTGAATATATAAATACACACATTATTACATGACATTTAAGATTTATTTATTTATGATGATGATATTACTGGAAATTGTAACCATTTTTACGAAAACTTTTTATGTCAATGCCTGAATTAAAATTTCAATAATGATATGAAATTATTTTGAAAACTATTGATAATATTGTTGATTGTCCTGAATTACTCGCTTAAATACAACTATTGTCTTCATTAAAAATTTTGGATAACTTTCTATTAATTTACATTTCTATTAGTCAACATAATCATAATATGCACACTTCTCTCAATAGGATAATTTCATAATGTAACAAATTAGACAATGTTGATTTTTATATTATACACTATAGTAAATAAAATAAGGTCTTAGTCTGTTAATGTTTTAGATACATTATATTTAATACCTTAAGTAATTAATAATTTTTTTTTTTATTATATAAAATATTATTCAAGATGATACATAGTGGTTACATTTGTTATTTATAACAACATTATATTTTTTATTTATAACGTGTACTACTGACCCGCTAATTTATTTTTTGTTTCTTTTTTTAAAAAAATACTTTTATTGGTATTATTATTTATTAAAAAAAAATATAAATTGTACATTAAATTTTTTTTTTTTTGAATTTTTATGGGAAAGTTAAACATTTTTGACGAGAAGTCCATTAGAAAAATATTCGTACCTCCATGCAATTAAATAAAATTTTTAACTATTAATTGAATTAATATACAATTTTATATTAAACAAAAAAAGTTTTGTTTCATGTGTAATTATTAAATTTATCGTCTTATATATATCTGTAATTATAATTATCCAACTTAATGTTTTGTATTAAAATAACAGTATAAATTTATTTTATATTGTCTGATTATAGGTGAAGATTAGAAATACAACCCAAATAGCAAATTCTAAATGATAACATTTAATAATTATTCTACAAAATCACTTTTTTGTAAAATTATTTGTGAGTTAAGATTATTTTTAACCTCTTAAAATTTTTTCGAAAATAATTATTAATTAAAAATATTGTAAAATAGTTTATTTAATTACAATGTAAAGATTATCTTAAAAAAATGTTTAAAAATGTTTAACAAGACTTTTATTAAATTACTACAACAAAAATTTGAAAATATTATTTTTGTAATAATGTGTAAACAAATAAAAAAGAGATCGCTTAAACAATGTCATAACAGAAATATTATTTGAATAATATAATAATTGTTATCAGTTTCGTTAAATATAAGGTCAATGTGATAGACTTTGCACCCTAGCTAGATAGTGAAGGTACTCTTATCAGGTTGGCTTCGCGATGTAATAAGGTTACTGATGGAAGACACGAGGTGACCATTTATTAAACGTATCGCAAAATATACGGTACCATGTCAACATTATGATATTAATGATATACTGTGTATATCATAAGACACATGACAGGAATTCAAATATTAATTTGCGGAAAATAATTGTCATTTGTTTTAAATAAATGGTCAATGTGATAGAATTTTTTTCGTTGGGATTTTATGGAATGTGTAAGTGGAAAGTTGATTCTTGTGTAAAAAAAGATATTCTTTTTTTTATCTTATCCACGGAGAAACTCTATTTTGGTGATATATCTTTTTCGAGTATATGACATATACTCAATACTCAATACTGCAGTATACTCAATACATACTCTATATGTATTTTACCATCGATGCGAAGCTGAGAAAGTATTGGTTTTACTATGATGAGTTCTCAGCTCTGACCGAAACGATTTCTTTCAACGATACGTTAAAAGATTACAAATCGTATCTAGTCAAAGAAATTACACTCAAAAATTGAAAAAATTTCCCTCGTTCCCCGTAAATGGTAAATTCTACAAAAAATTACAAATTTTAAAATCGCTAATTTTCGAAATTTTTTCAATTTTTTTTACTTAAAACTGCCATAACTTTTTCAAAAATGAACAAATCAATATAATTTTTTTTATAGATCTTTGATGTCTTTACTTATCATTTGATTTATTTTTTTTGTAAATTTTTTCAACAATAGAAAAACAAAAATGTATATATACTGGTTGTTACGCAATACAATGTTGTACTATACTTCACTATACTAGTATTAGGTAGCATCTCTGGCCAGCAGCTCTGCAAATTGTGAGTACCATTGAAATTTATGTATTATTGATTATTGAGTTTTGTTTTCTTTTTCTTAATTTAGCGTAGTTATTATTGAATTTTATTTTGAATTAAAATTTGTTTATTATAAGTATTGAACTGATTTAGTGCTGTCATTGAAGTTGTAGAGTTTATTTTTTGTCATTATTCTGTTATATTGTTAGAGTTCATATTTTCATTATTATTTGTTGAGCCAGAAGGGCTAAATTTATCTAGTCAACACTTTTATTAAATTATTATTATTAATTGTTGTAAAAAGGTTTAAATTATTTATTTATTTGGTTTAATAGTACACACTTACATATATACACACTAACACATCTTTCACTACATAGATCACTGGTTGCTGCGTAGGCGAACCCTCCCACTTCCAGTGATTCTATTTACATACATCACACTACGCAACCTGATCGGTATTGGTGCAATTAGCAATTACCCATTACCAATTAGGTATCGGGTATGCACTATAATATTTAGTGCCTCTGGCCCCAACAATTATAATGAAATAAAAATAAGCTATTGAAAATGATTAAAATTATTTGTATTGGATTTTTTATTTAGGTAATCATACGATTCATTTTTACCATTATTATTTCTGAAAGTACAAGTAATAATTATATAAAAAACAATAAAATCAATTAATTTGTCAATAAAAAATAAACAATACTATGGAATTTTTCACAAAATTCTAATATAAATTGATATGTAACACTAAAATTTTACTCGAGTCATTTTAAGAGGCAATATAAGGAGAAATGACCAATTTTGAGTGACCACTCAATTTGTGGGAAATATCGTGGTATGATCTCTTTTCAATTTTAGAGAATATCGGGAGTTTATTCGAAAATTCCTCCATTTTTGGAAAAAAAACTTTACACTCCACCAAGATACTCGCCCATATATTACTATGGTTCGAAAGATTTACACCCTGTATATCTTAAATTAAAGCTACTGTAATATACTTTATTATGGAAAAAAAATTTCGGACTTTATTTTGTCTTCACGGTGAAAATGGGCATCAAATGCTAATTTAATGTGAAAATTCTCGATATTATTTTTTACATTTTTAACTTTATAATGCTACAACTTATTGAAAAATGTATGGATCAACATAATTTTTTAATGAGAAATAATATTTTTTAATAATCCCTTTTTCCTTCGACATACTTTATCTTAATCAGGATATTAATAAGGAACTAGCAGATCATGTAACTTTTGGAATAATACACCAATTTTTTAAAATTAAACACTATCTAAAGATTTGCATCGAAGCGTTTATTTTTGATAGTGATTTTAATCACTGTCAGATATCATTATACTTGATCCAACTATGCCACGTCACCACTGTGCCGCGACCCCCCTGTGCTGGGTTTTTTNACCACTGTGCCGCGACCCCCCTGTGATGGGTTTTTTGCTTTTGGTTGGCGACTCTTAGCGAATACACCAACCACTTCAACTTAACGTCGTCTCGTTCCAAGCCGTACACATTGACAGACACGTTAGGGTTTTGTCGCTTGTATATAAGTGGGTAAACCGGATTGGGTATGAGGTGCACATAATAGGTGAAACCCAATTAAAACTTACCTAAGTCGGGGGGAGGGGTATCTCCTCTGATTCATACATCATAGCTTGTATAACCACAGTCTTGTAGAATTTACCTTTTAGCATCATTGGAATACTTTTATCGCATAAGACACCAGATGTTTCTTTCCACTTCAACCATTCGCACTTAATCCTGTGTCTTAAATCCTCGCCAATACCACCTTTTGCACAACTGATCCTAAATACTTAAAAATTTTCATCTCCCCAATCACGTTCTCGTCTATTGTCACTGATCTCCACATTTAATATACCTCATGTTCTCTTTTGTCAACCTAACCGGAATTTCTGGTAACGATAAAATTAATTGTCAGAAAGTGTATGAAATTGGTCTTGTTCTAGTAAATTTAATGGTGGGTAATAACTTTCATGATATAAAACTAAAAAGGTCAAATAAAATTATAAATCTTTCTTCAATAACTTTTATTGTTAAAATAAATAATGAAATAATTAAAGTAAACCCATTGCTACTATTTCAACTAATCGCTATTTAAAAAAAAAACCAGGAGTGTCCCGGCATAGTGGAGACATAGTATAATTGGGTCCAGTACAGATGATATGTGACAGTGATTAAATTCATTATCATAAAAAATACCTTGATGCAAATCTGTAGATAGTGTTTAATTTAAAAAAAATAATGGATTATTACAAAAGCTAATCCTAATTACCATACAAATTGTAATTAGGATAACGCATTAATAACGCAAAGTATGTTATCGATGGAGGATTTCTCCTCTATAAAGTTATTTGACAAATGTATCAACACAAAATTTTTTTCCATTTTCTTATTCATTTACTTCTTCTTAATTTTGATAAAATATATCTTCAACAAAAGTACAATCTTCTAAATTGTCAATCTTTATTTCTACTGAATTTGTACACCATTGATTTTTTCCATGTTCACATATAATAAAACATGTAAGCCCTGTTTTTCGGCAGCCACAATTTTTACCAATTCCATATTCCGACCAAAGGCCAATATGCTTTATGACAATTAACTTTATCATTACCAGAAATTCCGGTGGCAATTGACATAATATAATTGTTGTTTAGGAATGTACAATTTAGTGTTTGGTTAGGTTTAAACAATAAAGCGTCAAATCAATTATCTACTCTATAGGTTGTATCTTAATATACATTACACTTTAATGATACTATAAATAAATAAACTCACACATACACACATATTCATTTATAGCATTGTGATTAATGTATGTATAACATGATAAAAAGTAACCGTAAAATATAAAAAATGGAAAATAAATTTTAGTACTCATATTAAATGTAATGTAACTAGAAAAATATTTGTTTAAATGAAAAAATAGAAGATATCCTTTTTTGTTGAAAAGTTGTTTTTTAAACAACTTTTGTACGAAACTATATTTTGTAAATTAAATATTTGTTGAGAAAATTAAAAAATCTCATATTTTTGAACTTTTGCAAGGCTGTAAAAAAAAAGCTCAATTCCAATTAATGAGGACTTTAAATATGTCATTATACATATCTTAATTCAACTTTAAAAAAATAAAATTGGTTGGGAATTTTTTCTGCCATTTGACAGAATTATTCCTTCGTTGATTGGCCTTTTATTTTTATGTATATATACATCATATTTTAATGTTAAAAAATTATTAATTATTATAATGTGAACATCGCTCCAAATGAGTGATATACTTATAAAAAAACCCAGCACAGGGGGGTCGCGGCACAGTGGTGACGTGGCATAGTTGGATCAAGTATAATGATATCTGATAGTGATTAAAATCACTATCAAAAAAAAACGTTTCGATGCAAATCTTTAGATAGTGTTTAATTTAAAAAAATTGGTGGATTATTCCAAAAGCTTCATAAACTGCTAGTTCCTTATTAATATCCTGATTAAGACAAAGTATGTCGAATGAAAAAGGGATTATTAAAAAATAGTATTTCCCATAAAAAAATTATATTGATCAATACACTTTTCAATAAGTTATAGCATTATAATGTTAAAAATGTAAAAAATAAAATTGAGAATTTTCACACAATAATAGCATTTGGTAGCCATTTTCACCTTGAAGATAAAATAAAGTCCGAAATTTTTTTTT